ACTAATAGTCTCAAATAATTAAATTATTTCACGTAATAACTACTAAATTCACTTGTTCAGTAAGATGCTTATTAAATTCGCTTTCAATGACGCAAAACTCAGTTACAATATATATGCAGAAACTAAAAAAAAAAAAAATAATTCTTATCCACCAATACCTTTAGTCTATATTAGAAATCAACAATAATATATATTCAACACAGATTAAATAAAGATATAGTGTTGAATCAATTAGTGTATCACCAAATAATATTACAATGATCCTTCGCCAATCAACTAATGATTGACTTATTATTTTTGGTATACAATACAATTTCTATTACCCACAACTATACTTTTGTTATAGTGATTATACTTGATGATGATCAAATGTGAATGGGTAGATCAAATGTTAAACTCAAATTGAAATAACTTTGACACTTGATAATGATGATGTGTATATGATTAATTATGGCACTTCCTGATGATGGTGGTACTGAACTTCCGTGTAATATAACACCCACAACTTTGTAAATGAAGAAATAAAAAAAAAAAATATAGAATTTCAATACAATTTGCCAATATTTATAAATAAAAAGAAATAATGTAAAGAATAGTAGGAAAATACAAAATAATATCAAAAACACCAATGTAACAATATTAATAAATAAAGTAGATGTCAATGAATGCACCGATATAATAAAATAAATGTCAATGAATGCAAAATTATAAATAAATAAAAATAAATGTCAATGAATGCACCAATGTAAATTATAAATAAAAATAAAATAAATGTCAATGAATGCACCAATGTAAATTATAAATAAATAAAATAAATGTCAATGAATGCACCAATGTAAATTATAAATAAATAAAATAAATGTCAATGAATGCACCAATGTAAATTATAAATAAATAAAATAAATGTCAATGACTGCACCAATGTAAATTATAAATAAATAATATTGATAATTATAATAAATAACTGAATCACCAGAAAAATAAATCAAAAATAAAATTAATAATCAATGTATATTGTTGTGCTGATCTAGTTGACTGTCCTGACGTTGACCTGAAGCTGGTTCTGCGATGGCTGTTGCTTTCTTGAAGGTTGTTTCGTTGAAGCTTGTCTGTTGAATATGCTACTGCTACTTTTAAATACTAAAGAAATGATAATTTGATATGGTTAATTGAAATTAACACACCATAGTAATAATTTCATGAACTGGGCACTGAAACTAATTAAGACCGCACAGTTTATCTGCTCACACTAGTAATTTCGGCATTGAATGCACACTAATTAAGGAATTGTTCAGTGAAGCATTTATTACAGAAACTGTATACTGTTTGTGGTACTGTTCACTGTACTATCGGTTTCATAAACTGGATATTTATCATTGAGTAGTTCAATTGCTAGCTACACACTTCAATAGTACATTGTTAATTGTAGACACTAAAATAGTTCACTGCTAGCTACACACTTCAATAGTACATTGTTAATTGTAGACAAATAGTTCACTGCTAGCTACACACTTCAATAGTACATTGTTAATTGTAGACAAATAGTTCACTGCTAGCTACTGCTACACACTTCAATCAATACTTAGATTTGCACCGACCAATTTGATGCTTTTCCTGTCGACTGAATGTGTTTAGGACGTAGGAAAGCTTTATTGTTATCGCTTTCTTGTGATATGTGCGATTACACGATGAACTTGAAGCATTATTGATCACGAGACATTAATGAGTGCTGATCTTGAGGTTTTGTAGACTTGTCATACTGCAGTTTTCCTATTAAATGGTTTGCCACGGCTGAAAATGTAGAGCTGCGACACAAATACCCAGTGTCAGAGCTGTGGTTCTTTTGCTTTCTGTACAGTTAACACTCTACCCGGTGTTTCACTGTCTTTCTATGTTTTGAAAAAACAGATCCGAAAAACAGGATCTGGTGTCGACGCTTCTCTGTGTTGTTCAGTGTAGATTTCCCACTACACTTTACCACACTTTAGTCGGCAGCGAAATTTGATCAAACAACAAGGCTTCGGAAGTTTTGCAGAGGGGCAGCCCTAGTCTCACATCATCTCTGTGTAGACTTACGGTTGTATTCCTTTGCTACAATCAATGAATGCTCTTTGACACCGTCACTGTCTGCAATCTTTCCTTCGCATCTTAGTTGATTGTTGATTACTTGGTCGAAACTTAAAACGTGGACTTGTCTATCAGTATTCAAAGCCTGGAATTTGTCCGAACGTTGTTCAATCTGTGAACTATCGAATATGGGTTGTTGTTATTTCGCCATCGATCTTCCCCGCTTACGTTCGTATGTCGAACTGGTACTACCTGACGTCAGGTTGATAACTAAACACCTTTCGATGTCTCAGATTTTTCTGTACGAAACAACTTTCCTATCCTCAAATGTTTGGACGAGTTCCCCATCTTGCGATGATTCTCTTTTATCTTCTACTGGCTCGCCTCATCGCACGCTCGCTGCCATCTCACAAACCGACATCACTCGACGAGCAGAAAAAAATGGACGACTGGGAAACAACACGATACTGTTCCAGTACTTTAATCTTCCACTCGCGGCTTACACTGCCGGCACATGAACTAGACAACTGTCCAGGCACACATTATAATGCAAGTGTCAACTATTACCTTCAAGTAGAAATCACAATCACACTAACATCTTGAACGAAACACAGCAGCTGTCCTGACAGACACAACTCAGACGACCCGCAGACATATTACTGGCCAGCTTTTTTCGCCAAGTTGGACTGGAACAAATTCACTCACAAAAACATCTGCTGAATCCACACATCATCCACCGCTGTCCATGCACACTGTTCCTAGGTCCAAAACGAGACTGCTCACAAACCTTTTCTTCGCTATTATATAGCCCTCTGATCTATCTTGTTCTAGAATATTCTGGATTCATTCTCACGAATTTCCCACTGTTGAAAGTCGTGTCTGGCCCGTGATAATTCACATTTCACACAAATCCTGTGAACAATCATGTTTCACATAAAACCTGACTTTCAGATGTCTCTCATGAAACTCAAGACATAAATCTCGTGTTATCTCAGCCAGTCAAAACATTCGTCTTACATCTATTACTCTTACATCTATTACTGACGTCATCTATCGGGCATAAATTAATGAGGAGAAAATGACTCTTTTGGGAAAAGAATTCACTATTTTAACAGATAACTTGGGGTTGACAAAATTATTAACAATTGATGCCAATAGCAATCCAAGGGTATATAGATGGGCATTGTTGATATCACAATTCAAATTTAACATTGAACACATCAAAGGAACAGACAATCATTTACCGGATATCATGTCACGTTTGTAGAAGATGTTGCAACTGCTATTACAACTTGTATTAACTGAAATCATTTTATGCAAGGGTATGCATTGTATTATTGTATGAATGTATTATATGAATTTACAGCTTGGAAAAATATATATGTTTGATTTGATCGGGCATAAATTAATGAGGAGAAAATGACTCACTACATTCTCCCCCACCCCAAAAAAATGTTTTACATTTTCAATTAATCAGGTGTGAACATTTCACTGAACATTGTGATTCTAGACCTTTGTAGTGAATCATTTTCGACAAGTTCATTTCCAAACCAAGTTCCCTTTACCTCATTAGGTTAACAATTCAAACACTCTAAAATGCCATCTGTATACACACCAAAACATTGCATGATCACTGCACTACCCTACAAAAAGTCCTATCAAGAATAAATGACGCGAAATAAGTTCTTATTGTATTTAATGTTCTTTTCTATTAACTGTTTAAGTGTGAAGATTGCATCTGTGCAACTTCTATTTCTCCTAAATCCCATCTGTTCTTCTGCCAGCTGTGGTTCTATCACTGGTCTCAGTCTTGTTTCTATTATCTGGCATACATTTTGCCAACATGGCTTAAAACAGAGATGCCTCGGTATTGACCACATTCTCGTTTGCTTCCTTTGTTCTTCCACAATGGTATAACTATTGCGTGTTGCCAATCAATAAGGGCAGTTTGTTGTACCCATGCTGCATTAAATATTCTGTGAAGCCGATGCTGCTTTCACCTGCTGTTTGAATTATTTCTGTTGGTAATCTATCAGCTCCTGGTGCTTTAAATTTGGGAGACTGCTTAATGGCTTTTTTTATTTCATCCATTAGTTCTACCACTGTTGCTCTGTGCTCTTCAGTTGTTCTTTCCTGATGATCTCCTAGAGGATTAAAGAGCTCATTGAAGTATTCCCTCCATCTTTCTGCTATCTCGGGTGGATCTATCAATGGCCTTCCTGTCTTATCATTAATTATTTCAGTGGGGTTGTAGCTCTCATCTCTTTTCCGCATATTTTTAACTACTTTGAAAAATTTTCTGCTGGCTGTTTTCTCATTTTCTGCTAATGACTCACCGAAACGTTCCCATTATGCTTGTTTTGCTTTCTTGACCCTCCTGTTGGTTTCTCTCCTTTGCAGTCTATAGTTTATATAATCTTCTTCTTTTTTTAATTTTATCCACTGTTTATATGTCCTTTTTTTTTTTAATTGCGTCTTTTACTTATTCGCACCACCAAGGTAAAAAAAAATTTTTTATTTCCCCGTCTGTTTCCACTCTTCCGTTTTCCACATAATTCTTCTGCAATACTAAGCATAGTGTTTTTATGTAGCTGGACTAGGGCATATTGTTTTTATATAGCTGGTATAGGGTATATTTTTTATTATATAGCTGGTATAGGGCATATTATATAGCTGTTATATGGCATATTATATAGCTGTTATATGGCATAGTATGTAGCTGGTATAGGGCAAATTATGTAGCTGGTATAGGGCATATTTTTTAGCTGTTATAGGGCATATTATATAGCTGGTATAGTGCATGTTGTATATCTGGTATAGGGCAAATTAAATAGCTGGTATAGGGCATATTATATAGCTGCTGTAGGGCATATTATATCGCTGTTATAGGACATAAATTATGTTTGAAAAAAATCTTCTTCCCCCTCCTCCAGGCTGTCAGTTTGGAGACTGCTGGTTCTGGAGTCACATGTAATGCAGTTTGTCCTGGCTATGTAGAAACACCTCGTAAGTTCATCGTTTTGCTGTTTCTAAGGAAAGACCTTTCAAATATATCAGATTAAGTCTACCTAAGTTTTTTAGTGTGACCGTGTTATGGAAAGAGGGAAACTGGAACATGTTATGAAAAGAGGGAAACTGGAATATGTTATGAAAAGAGGGAAACTGGAACATGTTATGGAAAGAGGGAAACTGGAATATGTTATGAAAAGAGGGAAACTGGAATATATTATGAAAATGGAGAAACTGTAATATGTTATGAAAAGAGGGAAACTGGAACATGTTATGAAAAGAGAGAAACTGGAATATATTATGAAAAGAGAGAAACTGGAATATATTTTGAAAATAGAGAAACTGGAATATATTATGAAAAGAGGGAAACTGGAACATGGTAAAGATTCATGGAAAGATTCTTGATGGTCTTTTGTCACGGCTTAGAGCAGTGGTTCTCAATCTGCGGGTCGCTAAACCGGATTGCGCGGAGACCGGGTGACGAACTCCTTGTGGTCTGTGTTCACTCCCGGGGGTAGGCAGAAAAGCCACATTTCTCCCAGATTTACGGTATTTATCATGGAATCAAGGCCGAAAGGTTGCAATATCCATAATACCGAGCCTAAAGGTTAACAACTCATGGCTTCTGGATACTAAAACAAACAATACTCAAGGAGTCACTTATAGCCTGTGCCCATTTTCTTGTCGGTAGGCCCCTACCCCTCCTTCCTGGTACCATGCCTTCTGCTATTATTGTTTCCAATCCGTCGTGGTGCTTGATATGACCCAAAATTGTTCAGCTTCTGAGACAGGATGCTGTTTATGTGCCAATCTTCCTTGATGTTCAGATCTTTCAAGATGTCAATGTTTCATTTGTTTTTGCTTTTGATAGTGATAATAAATGTCTGGGGATTTTGGTTTGCTCACGTACAATCGTTTGTTACTTGTGAGTTTGTCCACTCCTTCATTTGTTTTTTCCCCACTCCGTCCTAGCTCAGGTGGTGGGAAGTTCCAGCTGAGAGTGGTTAAGTTTAGCTTCAGAGTAGAGTTTGCCTGTTGCGATTTTTCTGATGCATGTTCATGGAGTATTGTGGCTTTAATATGCAGGTAAAGACTGAAATGGTTTGGCCACCTGGTGAGAATGAATCCATTGGTGCTGCCAGCGGAACTTGTAATATAAAAATGAAAACACCACATTAAAGGAGTTAGACAAAGTGCAAAATCAAGCGCTCAGAGTCATCACAGAAGGGATGAAATCAACCCCCATATTAGAAATGGAGAAAGCTGGGAAAACACAGGCACTGAGAGAACGCAGAGATCCAAAGTTGCAAATACAAGCTGAAAAGTTCCTCAGTATGCCAGATCACCCGATGGAAAATAGATTTAAGAACCTAGCCTTGGGACGGTTAAAAAGAAGCAGCTTTATACACCAAGCAAAAAGAATATGTAGACAAACTCCTGACCTTCCAGAAATTGGCTGCCCACTTAAAAGTATTCCGGAACAAACCCCATGGAGAGAAAAATGTAAACTAACGGTACAAATCCAGACAAATGTGAAAGGGATATTTGACAAGAAAGAGCAAGATAGTGTACAACGCAAAATGGCCACCCTCAGTTATATTGATGAAGAATACCCACTAGAACAATGGGTCAGAGTCTATACAGATGGGTCCGCAGAAAGTGCAGTTAGAAATGGTGGTGCTGGAGTGTACATCGAATTCCCAGATGGTACTAGGGATACCAACCGGGAAGTACTGCCATAACTACGATGCAGAAACCCAGGCTATTAAGATAGCTACAGAGAAACTGCTAAATACCAACCTTGGCTCACAGTATGTGGTAATGCTTACAGATGCTAAATCAGTACTTGAAGCATTCCAGTATAGGAAACTACCAGAATTGCAAACACTGCTGACACAACTCAGCGTTCAGCGAAAAGTCGTAATGCAGTGGATACCGTCTCATTGTGGAGTGCCTGGAAATGAGAAAGCTGATCAACTGGCAGGGGAAGGTGCGACAAAAGAGCAGCCAGATGTACCAGTCACATACCACCAAAAGAAAAGAATCATTAAATCGATCAGGAAACCACCAGCCCCAGCACAAGACGACTATTTTATTATGGACAGACCAGAACAAGTCATTATCTTCCGCCTCAGAACAGGGCACAACCGATTACGTAACCACATGTACACAAAATTCAAGATAGGTGTATCAGCCATCTGCACCTGTGGAAATGTGCCCCAGACCGCAGAACATGTACTCCAGGACTGCACCGATTTTGACACATTAAGGCAAACTTTTTGGCCAGAAAGAACAACAGTGGAACGTAAACTCTATGGACCACTGAATGAACTAACAACGACAGTGAAATTTATACAAGAGACAAAACTGCTGATATAGATAACTTATTTCAGGCGAACGAAAGAAGAAGAAGAAGAAAATAAAAACACCGAGCGACAGGCCTCTCAGAACTGTGAAACATGTACCCACATCCAAGAGACTTGACAACTAAGCTTTTGTGGAAACTTAAAAGGCACCTCAAACTGACATATCAGTTTATGGCCCATAGCGGTATATGCACCTGGCCAGTGATTGCTGAAGAAGAATAACTGATTAACTGAATTCTCATCTGTTTCAGTGTTTATAAAGCAGGCAGAAGATAGAGCCAAGGACCAAGGTATATCATTTGAGGATGGGAAGGTCAGTACATTTCATGTGTGATACTGTTTTTGTGTTCTGTTGTTCTCCCTGTCTAATGCTAAGTGGGGTCTCTTTTGTCTGTTTTCTGCTTTTGTTCTCGTCTTTTGTCATTTTTCCTGTGTTGTCGGTTCGTGTCCATTTCTATTTTTTTCTCCTTGAGAATGTATTGTTTCTAATATTCAACTGGAATCTATAATTAGCCGTTAAGATAAAAATGCATTTCTTTGGCACATCATGAGAAGGAAAACTCAAATACTTAGAGAAAACAGAAAGGGAATGTTGAATTAAGAATCGATATCATAGCACTCGGAACGCTAACATACGCGCTCCGTTCCCATCTTCAGCAGCAATCAAAGAGTTCTGATTCCGATGGTACCAGTAACTGTCTGATTGTATATCCTTCTCGCCTTTCCGTTGAGTGTCGGACAGATCCCCTGATAACTCCCCGCAGCGCCATTCTCCTCAGACAGTAATGATGTAAGACAGTTTGGCATTATGCATAAACCTCTTCGTCAGAAGTGATTTACACAATACAAGATAGGAGGCTGGGAATATCTACAACAACACCTGCCAGGTGAAGTCAGCGGCTATAATTTCTTCTCAATTTGCCCTTAAACGTGCCATATACACTTTGTTTTGTAGTGCAGGTAGGCTGCGATATCTACGCCATTTGGCCTGACATATCCAGGTTCAGTAGAATCCTATTTACGACATGCTAATTGAGGGGTACATTTGATCTGTTTTGTTACCTTGTCTTTTTGGCTGTCAGAACCGAAGTCACAAGAGTGAAGGTCGGCGTAGAGCCAGTTCTAAATTACATACAAAGGCAGCAAATAAAATTGTCTGCCCACTTACTGATTATGTCCTGTGATGCCATACCATACAAGACACACAACAGAATAGGGGAAGGAGCATAAACAAGAGCTAGACAAAGAACGATATGGAAAGCCCCAACCCATACGGAGCATGAGAATTAAAATCTTTAAAGATACTTTTGATGCACCTGACTCTGTCCATGATCGAAACCCACTGCTGGCTGAGTGGATTTTTATCATGGTATGGGGCGCCGCAGGTCGATCCAGCTTAAAATGGGTACTAGGATGTATGTCCTGGGGAAGCTAAGATGGCCGGTGTAATGCTGACCACATTACCTACCTAGTGTGATTGGTCTGTAAAAATATTGGTGCTCTTCCCATATACCCGATGCGCCTAAAGACATGAAAAGGGATCTTTACTTACTGACTCTTTTTTTAACCTAGGAAATATGATGTATGTTGGCCCTTCCCCCCCCCCCCCACCCTCCCCCAACAGCCTTGTCACACGAAATAAGCAGGGCTATTTTTGTTAATGTTTTCAACAGAAGCAGATACTGGCGGTGCATCCCTCGGGCGAGGCTGTGAAAATTAGCGAGGTCAGTGCTTATTTTTTATTAGCAGGATGCAGGAATGTTTGTGTGTATGCAAGTGTGTGCCCATACCGTTGAGGTATTTTGAGGAGTAAATTAAAACTGCAAGTTTAGCCTTTAATCTTGTTGCAGAACTTATAGAGTTTTGCGTTTACATCCAACAGATCTGGCTTATTTGTATGCAGACTCTTGGTTCCTTGCCTATCAGAAAAAGTCCTTAATTAGTCGCTTTTTATGACATGCTTTTTAGGGGAAGTGAGCGGGTCTGTTTCCTTTTTCCGCTCAAAATGAGGCTAGAAAACCACGAGTGGGGGATGCTTAATTTTGAGAGCCTTATATTATAAAAAGTAAATGATTTTTGGCCGCTCTAGGATGCAAGCTGGCAATATGGTAACAAGTAAGAATAAAAGACTCCAAACAAGTGGCACGTCTGACATGTGGTGCTGGACTGATATTTTTATAGATTAATGGCACTCTACAGAAGGAAAATACTGACGACAGAAACGTAATGTTTACATACTATGCTAGGTGCAACGAGAAAAAATCCACTTAGGAATGATGATATCAGAAGGAGAGTCGGCACAGAACCAGCACTGAACTTTATAGGTGGACAACAAATCAAATGGTTTGGCCATGTAACAAGATTGGCAGCAGACACGGCATCACAAAAAGCAATATTATACAGAGATAAAGGTAACAGAGCCGGAGATCGACCGCAAAGAAAATGGGCGACAGATATATCAGAGACACTAAAAAGTACTTTATACGAAGAAACAGAAGGGCCCATTCCAGAGATCTCTGATGCTGCGAGGCATTCCAAGAGTAGAGAAATGAGAAGAAGAATGGCACTTTGTCTTGTGCTAGTTTACAACATGGCTTCAATATTTGTGCCTTTCTGTCGATCTATCTGACTTCTGCAGACAATTGTTCCCCGGGTCCTAGATGTATGAATACCCAGAAAACAGCTCATAGAAGATGCATTAACCCACTGACTACCAAGCACATTAACCCTTGCACTTTCTCAGATACCATGTATTTTAATGTGTACTAAAAATTCCATAACTTCACAACTAATTTAACATAAACTCATAACATTTTGCACCTTTGCACAAAATTTAAAGAAAAACATTCTCCAAATTTAGTAAGATTTCCTAATCTTGTTGTACATCATCATCATCATATGGCTGTAGAATGGTGAGGAAAACAAGGCGGCTAAAAATCAGGTTTTTTTCTCTGACAACAATATAGACTAACAAAATTTCCAGAGCTTCACAACTGATTATCTTTAACTAATAATTTATTGCATTTTTGCGCCAAATTGAACAGAGAACAAATTTCAAAAATTAATAATCTTGCTGTACATTGATGCAAGAAGGACAACCACAAAATTTTCTGTCAAACACAAGAATAAATAAAAGTAAGTAAAGGTCCCTATAGGCTAGACCTATAATTTTTATAGACCAATGGGCACTTTGTGGGTGATGTGGTCAGTATCATGCTGGCTTTACTTTCCAGGACCGCACCTCAAGGCTGGGTTGACATGGGAGTCAAGGTCACTTTTGAAAAAGAAAAAGTCTGGTTCCCTCAGGACGCCAACCCACAACTTTCCGATCTGCGGGCGGGTGTCTAGCCACCAAGGCGACTCCCACCAATATAATTTTTTTGTTTTTGTTGTTGCTGAAATATTCTTGGATGATAGCCCTGTCTAACTGTGAAAAAAAATTATGCAAATTCAGTGGCTGTTTACCAATTTACACCAAGAACTTCTGTTACAGTACGACTGAATTGTCAAACTTGAAAAGCCACACAACAAATGTATCCTGGTAAATGTAAAGGATTGCATTGTGAAACGATGTTCACTAAACTCTAAGCCACAGAGCCGTAATCTGCACTAACAGATGCATCTAACAATTCAAGACAATTCCCGCCCAAGTGATGTGATTATGTATACAGATTTCTCTGTGTTGAGGGGCAGACAAGGTGCATGTGGGTTCATAGCAAAGAGGAATGGACATCGCCTACTGCAGCAAAGCCTTGCATATGATATCACAACGTCTAGTTTGAGAATGGAGGTGGAGGCCGTCTCTGCTGCCTTCCGCTGGCTTGAGAATCAGCTGTACACACATGCGGTGATTGTAACTGACTCACAGAGCATGTTGAGAAACGTGAAAACAGGCATGCTTCGTGCAGTGTGGCAAGCATCACTTCAGAGGTTCTGGGTAGTTAGCATCCTTTGGATATTTTCTCCAGGTAATGCCGGTGTGTTGGGAAATGAGCAGGCAGATGAACTGGCTGGCTCTGCACCACTTGGTGGCGAATTGATGTATGACAAGTTAGGTATTGTGAAGGTCCTTTGGAAACGGGTGAAGAGTGAGGAGACACAGATAGATCATTACGTTCTAAGGAGAATGGCACTTCGAGGATTTACCAGGGGATCTGGCCGATACTCAACACTCAGGGGAAGGATGAGACAGATATACAATCAGACGGTTACTGGTACCATTGGAATTGGAACTCTTTGCTTACTGCTGAAGACGGGGACTGAGCGCTTATTGGAGTGTCCCGAGTGCTGTGATGTCAATTCTTAATTCAACATTCAGCGCATCTAACACACCAGAAGCACATACATGAAACGGTTTACCCGATCTAATGTAAAATAACACACCTACCTCCGACTGCCACTTCACTGCTGTAAGCGAAACATTGTCTTCCAGTATCAACTATATTTTTGAGTGCAGTTCTTAAGAATTATGAAATTCACAGTCATCTGTTCAGAAATATCTTACCTTCACTTTCCGATTTAAAACAATCAAGACAGTATCCCAAAGCATCAGAAATGTTCCCCAAACTGTTCTGCTGTGCCAGATATAACAATCAGCCGCCATTATCAAAACATCCGCCTGATGCATCATCAACTTGGGACCTGACCATAAAAATGCTTAGAAAATTCACTTTTTTGCACTATCAAATTGTTTCCTCTTAAAGAAACATATAGAAATGATTGGACTAATGACACATGACTTCAGGTACATTTATCGCAAAAGTCACAATTATAACATGGCAGTGAGTGTCCAAAGTTACGATCGTGGGGAGGGGGGGGGGGGGACCTTCACCGTCAACTGATCATATAACGAGTGATTGTGTGGTAGTCAGTGGGTTAAAGAAGTTAAATATAATACAGTTAGAATAATTTTTACAAAATTAGGAATATTATAATATTATATGCATTATATCTTTGTCAGTTGAGATGAGTTCCTTAAAGCCATGTAGAGCCAGTCCTGATATAAGAAAGTGATTCTTGGGCAGTTAGCCGATTAGTGAGAAATTACGTGAATGAAGATGTCTTCAGAAAAACAAACTAACAAAGAGGTGATTGTCCACATCAGCAGGAGACAAACTACATTCTTTTATCACATCAGTAGGAGGCAAACTACATTCTTTTATCACATCAGTAGGAGGCAAACTACATTCTTTTATCACATCAGTAGGAGGCAAACTACATTCTTTTATCACATCAGTAGGAGACAAACTACATTCTTTGATCACATCAGCAGGAGACAAACTACATTCTTTTATCACATCAGTAGGAGACAAACTACATTCTTTGATCACATCAGTAGGAGACAAACTACATTCTTTGATCACATCAGCAGGAGACAAACTACATTCTTTGATCACATCAGTAGGAGACAAACTACATTCTTTGATCACATCAGTAGGAGACAAACTACATTCTTTGATCACATCAGTAGGAGACAAACTACATTCTTTGATCACATCAGTAGGAGACAAACTACATTCTTTGATCACATCAGTAGGAGGCAAACTACATTCTTTGATCACATCAGCAGGAGACGCTACATTCTTTGATCACATCAGTAGAAGGAGAAAACCTGAATATATCATGACAGGGGGAAAAGACAGGGAGACTGAGAAGGATGTTGGATAGTTTGACATCATGGCATGGAAGATCATGTCAGAAATGATTAAAAGTACACAACAGAAGGCTGTTGATAGACATGACTTCCAATGCGGTAGTATAAGAAGATATAATTTGTTGTTTGTTTGTATTCACCGGCTGTCAACCCCGGCAGAAAGACCTGGTTGTTTGTCCATTTCTGGACTTTGGCTTTGTTCCAGGATGTGAGTTTTATGTGTGCATCCGTTTTACAGATCTTGCTTATTTGTGTGCAGACTGCTGGTTCCTTGCCTCTCAGACAGATGCAGTCTGACTTTGAAGGAAACCTCCCATTAGTCAACTCCTGACATGCTTGTTGGAGAGGCAGTGGGTCTTTTCTCTCCCCCCCCCCCCCCCACAATGTGGGCCTCAGAACCCACACAGGGAGATATCATTTGTATTATTACTGATTATTTTGGCTGCAGATTCACCCAGATCCTACTTTTTTTATAATCTTAGGTGGCAGAAATTGTGGCCTTTCTGTGCTCCAGTGCAGCAAATCAGATTACTGGAGCCTCAATGGTTGTTGACGGCGGATGGACTGCCCGTTAAGTGTGACTGGCATTCAATGGGTTTTTAGACCAGCTCCTTTACTTTTCTGACGATATGTCTGTGATGCAGGACTTTACAGAGCTAAGGATCTTTATTTTTATTTGTTCTCTTGTTGCAACATTTTTTATTGAACCAGCTGTACGTTTTTAAAAATGAATATGGAAAAGCTGCCGCAATGTTATTTTTCAAAATCAAACCATTTTTCAAACTTGAGTTCCCGTAAAGAGTTCGTATTTCTTATTTCAAAAGTCAAAACTAACAGACTGTTAAAATAACCTTAAACATTGAAGGTGAGATATTCTTTATGGTTTTATTTCCGGATTATCTGATTTTCAGCTTTTGTAGATTTGTCCTGCTTTTGAATATTGCAGTTTCTTCTTCTTTATTTCCTTTTTTTTTTTTTTAACTGCTTCAAGTGTCGGGGGCGATATAATGTTCTTCTTCAAACTCTTCTGGCTGTTTAGACCATAGAAACATTGTGTTGATGTAGTTGCTCTGATATTATCTTTCCATCTTGCTCTTGGTCTGCCTCTTACTTTATGCCCTTCTTGTTGTAGGCCTTGTACGGTATAGCATCATATGGCATTCTCTGTAAGTGGGCAAACCATTGTGTTTGCTGTCTTTCTATGTAATTTAGAATTGGTTTTATGTTGAACTTTTCTCTTATGACTTCAATTCTAACCGGCATAAAAGAGGAAAGGTACGGAAGACAATCAGCTACTAATACTACGTGTGTTTGTGGTAAAGGGTTGGAGAGGAGAGGGGGTGTGACACTCAGCATGGCATCTAATGTTTTTGCTAACTGTTAAGATTGGTTTCTGCTTATGTTGCTGTGAATTTTAAGCTCTGACATATGGAACAAAGTGTCATATACAGCTCAGGGTGATGTAAAATGTTTAATAAAACCTTTTTTTTTAACACATGCTTACTGTTATGTGCAGTACTTGTGTAGTAATCACTAGTGACATATTTCTTGTTGCTGTCTCACTGAAGTATGAGTCTGCAAAAATGTGGTCTGTAGTTTAACTTCACAAACCCATAGTAGTACAGTCTAGCAATGCCCACAGTTTAACCTATAAAACCCATAGTATAGTCTAAATCTAAGACATCATCATTGCCCACAGTTTAACCTATAAAATCCATAGTATAGTCTAAATCTAAGACATCATTGCCCACAGTTTAACCTATAAAACCCATAGTATAGTCTAAATCTAAGACATCATTGCCCACAGTTTAACCTATAAAACCCATAGTATAGTCTAAATCTAAGACATCATCATTGCCCACAGTTTAACCTATAAAACCCATAGTATAGTCTAAATCTAAGACATCATCATTGCCCACAGTTTAACCTATAAAACCCATAGAATAGTCTAAATCTAAGACATCATTGCCCACAGTTTAACCTATAAAACCCATAGTATAGTCTAAATCTAAGACATCATTGCCCACAGTTTAACCTATAAAACCCATAGTATAGTCTAAATCTAAGACATCATCATTGCCCACAGTTTAACCTATAAAACCCATAGTATAGTCTAAATCTAAGACATCATTGCCCACAGTTTAACCTATAAAACCCATAGTATAGTCTAAATCTAAGACATCATTGCCCACAGTTTAACCTATAAAACCCATAGTATAGTCTAAATCTAAGACATCATTGCCCACAGTTTAACCTATAAAATCCATAGTATAGTCTAAATCTAAGACATCATTTCCCACAGTTTAACCTATAAAACCCATAGTATAGTCTAAATCTAAGACATCATCATTGCCCACAGTTTAACCTATAAAACCCATAGTATAGTCTAAATCTAAGACATCATTGCCCACAGTTTAACCTATAAAACCCATAGTATAGTCTAAATCTAAGACATCATCATTGCCCACAGTTTAACCTATAAAACCCATAGAATAGTCTAAATCTAAGACATCATCATTGCCCACAGTTTAACCTATAAAACCCATATTATAGTCTAAATCTAAGACATCATCATTGCCCACAGTTTAACCTATAAAACCCATAGAATAGTCTAAATCTAAGACATCATTGCCCACAGTTTAACCTATAAAACCCATAGTATAGTCTAAATCTAAGACATCATTTCCCACAGTTTAACCTATAAAACCCATAGTATAGTCTAAATCTAAGACATCATCATTTCCCACAGTTTAACCTATAAAACCCATAGTATAGTCTAAATCTAAGACATCATTTCCCACAGTTTAACCTATAAAACCCATAGTATAGTCTAAATCTAAGACATCATCATTGCCCACAGTTTAACCTATAAAACCCATAGTATAGTCTAAATCTAAGACATCATTTCCCACAGTTTAACCTATAAAACCCATAGTATAGTCTAAATCTAAGACATCATCATTGCCCACAGTTTAACCTATAAAACCCATAGAATAGTCTAAATCTAAGACATCATTGCCCACAGTTTAACCTATAAAACCCATAGTATAGTCTAAATCTAAGACATCATCATTGCCCACAGTTTAACCTATAAAACCCATAGTATAGTCTAAATCTAAGACACACAGTTTAACCTATAAAACCCATAGTATAGTCTAAATCTAAGACATCATTGCCCACAGTTTAACCTATAAAACCCATAGTATAGTCTAAATCTAAGACATCATTGCCCACAGTTTAACCTATAAAACCCATAGTATAGTCTAAATCTAAGACATCATTGCCCACAGTTTAACCTATAAAACCCATAGTATAGTCTAAATCTAAGACATCATTTCCCACAGTTTAACCTATAAAACCCATAGTATAGTCTAAATCTAAGACATCATTGCCCACAGTTTAACCTATAAAACCCATAGTATAGTCTAAATCTAAGACATCATCATTGCCCACAGTTTAACCTATAAAACCCATAGTATAGTCTAAATCTAAGACATCATTGCCCACAGTTTAACCTATAAAACCCATAGTATAGTCTAAATCTAAGACATCATTTCCCACAGTTTAACCTATAAAACCCATAGTATAGTCTAAATCTAAGACATCATTTCCCACAGTTTAACCTATAAAACCCATAGTATAGTCTAAATCTAAGACATCATCATTGCCCACAGTTTAACCTATAAAACCCATAGTATAGTCTAAATTTAAGACATCATCATTGCCCACAGTTTAACCTATAAAACCCATATTATAGTCTAAATCTAAGACATCATTGCCCACAGTTTAACCTATAAAACCCATAGTATAGTCTAAATCTAAGACATCATCATTGCCCACAGTTTAACCTATAAAACCCATAGTATAGTCTAAATCTAAGACATCATCACCCACAGTTTAACCTATAAAACCCATAGTATAGTCTAAATCTAAGACATCATCATTGCCCACAGTTTAACCTATAAAACCCATAGTATAGTCTAAATCTAAGACATCATTGCCCACAGTTTAACCTATAAAACCCATAGTATAGTCTAAATCTAAGACATCATCATTGCCCACAGTTTAACCTATAAAACCCATAGTATAGTCTAAATCTAAGACATCATTGCCCACAGTTTAACCTATAAAACCCATAGTATAGTCTAAATCTAAGACATCATCACCCACAGTTTAACCTATAAAACCCATAGTATAGTCTAAATCTAAGACATCATCATTGCCCACAGTTTAACCTATAAAACCCATAGTATAGTCTAAATCTAAGACATCATTGCCCACAGTTTAACCTATAAAACCCATAGTATAGTCTAAATCTAAGACATTATCATTGCCCACAGTTTAACCTATAAAACCTACAATGCAGTCTATAACAACATTGTTTACACTGTATTCTATGAAACCCATAGTACAGTCTAAAACAGCTTAGCCCATAGTTCATCCCTTGAGCCAATATACTTACAGTTTATAACAGTTTTCCCCCTCAAACAAACCCTTATCAGTAGTTTGTATCAGGGTTATTCAGCTGGTGACCCACGGAGGCTTAACAAGTGACCCACGGAGGCCTAACAAATGACCCATGGAGGCCTAACAAGTGACCCACGGAGGCCTAACAATGACTCATGGAGGCCTAACAAGTGACCCGCAGAGGCCTAACAAGTGACCCACAGATCATTGTCAGCTGGATTGTAGTATGATCTTTCTATGCTGCGTCTCGTCCTTTTGTGCACACGAGGATCTCCGTGTTCAACATTTCGGCACTTGAGTAAACTTAGCTGAAAAGTCCTGGTCTCTAGCAATGTTTCCTACAGTTTCAGCTTTCCAACCTACAGCATTGTTGCCCATGGTTTAACAGTGCATAACCTTGACCTTGGGGGTCTCCATGGCAAAGTGGTCAAGTCATTTGCCTCGCGCTCTGAAGGTCGTGGGTGCAATTGTTAGGGAGATTCTTGGGGATTGTCGCCAGAGCTACTAAGGTCATGCTCTGTGCTACGCTTTCTGCAGGCCCTGTTCTGCGGAGAGAGACTGAGCCGTATGGGATAACCCTGTGAAATGAAGTTGATCCTTTCACCTTTACCTAACCTTGACCTACATGTCACTACTCTCTAAACAGTTTTGTCCATAGTTAGAAACCTCTAACTGCATGCAGATAAGGGCAATACTGTTTATATTTTTTAATGTTAAAAACTACACAGAAGAATTATACCATTTGATAAAATAGTTTGTTCCAAAACATATTCCATGAGATGTGGAGGGCACTTTCTTCCCACGTTCATTATTTCACAGTTTTAAAGACTGCTTTAGAATTGTGTAACTTATAGTTTACTAATAAATATGTATATATTTAATGCAAAAGTGCATGTGCCATAATTAATTCCATGATATGAATTGTGACTGATCTAACAAAACTAAAATCTCTTCATTGCTCCACTGACCAAACTTGTGGATGACATGCTTTCGAACTTTGTGACTATGAGAAGTATATTTTTGTAATTTATACATATTTAATACAAACATATGTGTCGTAATGACTTCCATGAGATAAAGAGTCTCTTTCCACAAAACTAGAATGATA